GCGCTTCAGCCTTAAGTTCGTTTAAGGCTTCTGAGAGTTGAGCTTGAGCTAACTCATCACTCGAACTCGATCCTCCGAAATCATTCCAGCTTTTAGTGCCGCTACTTCGGCTTCTAAACTCTCAATTCTGTTCTGGTCTACAGAACCACTGGAACGTGTTCCAACCATTTTCCAATATCTGTTAGGTAACACTGTAAAAAAACAATAATAATCACAAGTAAGCACCAGAATACTTGGAATATAATTTCTCACAACAAATTCTTTCAGCATCTTCATGCCAAAAGTATCGCCTTGATGTCAAGAACACAAATAAGCATTCTCGCACAAATGTTACCATAAAGCACCTCCGTGCTACATAAAGCAAGATCCCCTAGCCAAACAGTGTTATTACATGAGCTTGTTGTTACTCAGATGAAAATATCCCTGCGCAGTTTCACAATTGAGCACTATTGTGCCTAAATCATTTTATTTCACCCGGCCTACTCCACACGTTAAGGCGCTCGGCGTAAGATCAGGTCATCCTGCCTACTCCCCTCTGGAAGCGCTCGGCATGAACTCTGTCTACCCTGCCTACCCCACACGTTGAGGCGCTCGACCTGATATTAAAGCGCATTATTTCACCCGACCTACTCCACACGTTAGGGCGCTCGGCGTAAGACCAGGTCATCCTGCCTACTCCCCTCTAGAAGCGCTAGGCATGAACTCTATCTACCCTGCTTACCCTACACGTTGAGATGCTCGGCGTGAATCTGGGACACCCTGCCTACTCCATACGTTAGCGCTCGACGTAAGATCAGGTCATCCTGCCTACTCCCCTTTGGAAGCGCTCGGCATGCACTCTGTCTCCTCTGCCTACTCTCAACGTTGAAGCGCTCGGCGTGACATTAAGGCACATCTTATTTCACCCGGCCTACTCCACACGTTAGAGCGCTCGGCGTAAGACCAGGTCATCCTGCCTACTTCCCTCTGGAAGCGCTCGGCATGTACTCTGTCTCCTCTGCCTACTCTAAACGTTGAAGCGCTCGGCGTGACATTAAGGCACATCTTGTTTCACCCGGCCTACTCCACACGTTAGAGCGCTCGGCGTAAGACCAGGTCATCCTGCCTACTCCCCTCTGGAAGCGCTCGGCATGTACTCTGTCCCCCCTGCCTACTCTCAACGTTGAAGTGCTCGGCGTGATATTATAACACCCTGCCTACTCCACGTTAGAGCGCCCGGCGTAAGATCAAGCATCCTGCCTACTCCCCACTGGAAGCGCTCGGCATGAACTCTATCCCCCTTCCAACTCTTAACGGTGAAGCGCTCGGCGTGAAAATAGGAATACCCTGCCTACCCCATACATTAGAGCGCCCGGCGTAAGATCAGGTCATCCGGCCTACTCCCACTGGAAGCGCTCGGCATGAACTGTCCCCCTTCCAACTCTTAATGTTGAAGCGCTCGGCGAAATTCCTTAAAAGAAATAAGAACACATCTCGTCTACCACGAATCATTCGGCTCTGATACCAAGTGTCACGGACTTACCTTTTCCAACTATGTTTGTAATCCGTGCGGCACCTGAAAAGGGACTCTTCCCAAGTCAAGTCAGCCTTTATCTCGTATATCTGATCAAACAGGAATAAACATCACGTTAGATCATTGTAGCAACACGGTTCCTCAACCAATAATTTAAGCCCGTGGGGCATAGCGGATGCACACCTCAACCCCCGGGCTTCTCCGAGGGAAAAATGTTTTATTAACAAAAGAAACATCGGGTTACAGAAGACTCACCCACACCATCGATTAGGCCGTAGGGGCGGCCCTCGATGATGTTCACAAGACACGTACCTTTACCTGTGGATCAGCCCAAACTCTGCCGGCTGTCCACCCCCTACATATATGCGAAAACAAAATAACAGAAATGCTATCTATAGACGTTGAAAAGCTCGAACAGGGGACATTAAGACATATCCCCACTCCCTACCTAAAACATTGAAATGCTTGAAAAGAGGACAAGCTTATTCTACCCTGCCACTAGGCCCTATACATGGTTGGCCTTGGCATACGTATCCGGTTGTGGCCATATAAGAAAAGGGATGGCCACGACATAAGCAGGTGAAAATGAGAGTTATTTTTAATGAAACGAAGAAGACAACCACATTAACGATGCTACCCGGGCCCTTTAAAACCTCCCCCGAATCTGCTGGCAGTAAATGGCCATACCACCGCCACGCTCCTTCTCTGTCTTTTCGACACGTGTAATTTGGTTAAAGCCAGTTTTCCGTACCACCGGCGTCTCCACCCAATACGATCAATTACATAAAGAATGTGAATTTATGTTTCTCTGCGCCTATAATCACTAGTATTAAATTATAATTTTTGTATGGGTAAATTACGTGTTTAGCATATAAACTATCGATTTTAGTCAGTTTTAGTATATAAAGTTTTGTTTTTTCAAAATCATATATAATGTTTAGTTTTTGTTTCATTTTGGTACTCATCGTTAAAAACTTAACAAGTTTAGTACTTAAACTATTAATTTGATCCGTTTTAATACCTAAACTATCAATATCTAGGATTACAGGTTCTTTTTTAACACCCGCAAGCTCCAGGCGAAATGAAGAGGCGAAATAAAATATCTAGGATTAGGAGATTCCGTTATTCAATCAAAGGATCGGGTTGATGGGTAATCAAAGATTTCACAAGGGCAATAGGGCCGTGGACCAAATTGTTAGAATGAGAAAAACAAAATTTACACACAATTACGAACAGCATCATGTTACGTGGGGCAGGGCACGGTGTAAACCAAACAATGAACAACTTGAATTCATCATCACGCCTTTCATTGTCATTTTCTCAGTGTCTTCCTTAATTGGGAGATGCAAAGGCCGCACACCCCATACCCATGGATGGACAGATGAGACGGGAGAAGATAGTTATTTCTTTTGAAAATTTAAAATTATCATATATTTTAAATTATTTTTATATATTTTTATTAAAAATCTATTTTCGTCTATGAAATTTTAATTTATTATTCCTAACATAAAATCCTACGTTCGTTCCTGTTAATACCGCTCTCTCTCGCACATAAATTCGTTAGCATAGCTTCTCATTCTTAGTTGGTACCAAGGGAAGTTGGACGGTCCAATCCGATGAGGTGTAGAATGTGATTATTGTAAGCTGAGGAAGAAGAGTGGAATATGAAGATGAATGTAGTTAAATAATTGATTTTTTATTTTTATTTTTGGTCAACGAAAAATATTTAAAAATCGTTATGTAATCAAGTATTTTATAAAAAAATATTAAATTTAAAAAGACTTAAATATTTATTTTGAAGGTAGATAAATTCAATTATTTATTGAATCAGAAATAAAGAGAATCATAATATAATCTAAAGTATCTGAAACAAATCAAATAGACGAAGATCAATGAACAATCCATTTGGCAAGCCGCAAGTGTATGAACCGCAACATTAACGTTTCTTCAAATGAAAGCAACCCTAACGTTCGAGTGCACGTGTAAGATACGTTTTACTTTAACCACATGAGTACCTATAGTGAAGAGACCGAGCAAAGTGTGAGTTAAAATCTTAATATTAATATTGTAAATATAATACTTTTCTACTAAGTAAAAAATATTAATGAAATATTTATATTTATAAATCATATAAAATTTAGTATAAATGAAAAAAGTGTTGATTATCTTGATTAATATATAACGACTCGTGTCGTATTCTAATTTTAATATATAAATATTTTAATTGTTCTTTTTTTATTAATTATATTGATTAATTTAGATTGGTTCGTGTCATATTTTAATTTTAATATATATAAATATTTTAATAAGAATTTAAAAATAAACAAAAAATCAAACTCAAAATTTATTCAACCGATATCAAATTAATATAGCTCTAATAAGGTTAAAGTGTTTTTATTATTAACAGAAAATCAAATTATAAAAACCCACTCACAGAACTTGGGTGAATATCATGATAAACCCTAAAAGACTCCCGAACTTCACCGCTGCTCCGGCCTTAATTCTTTTACGTAAGTTCAAAAACCAATTCTCCATTTCTTCCTCTTAGTTTACAGTAAATATATCTCAAGTCGTAAGCTCTTGCATTTCAGCTTCAATCCAAAGTCTTCCTTTTTAATAATCCTTGAAGTTGCAGTTTAAGTGACTCTTCTGGATTTGTAACTGTTTCGTGCGGTGAAAATTCCGTAACATTTTATTGTACATTATTTAAGATCTACTGAACTGAATATTTGAATGGCTTCTTAATTATATGCTTGATTATTATTATTATATCTTAATGTCATAAATGTTTTCCAGAATTTTCGCTTTATTTTAACTGAATTTGACCGTATTTTACTTGCTGTTTTTAGCTACAAGGGGAAAGTCTGATACGAACTTGGTTCTTTTTGTTTCATAATTTGCATATGAAAATCACTAGAAGAATCAAGTGGAAGCAAAGTGCTTTAGTTTTTAATAATGATGTATAAGTAGCGAAACTCTGGTTAGTTCTTTCGGTTGATATTTTACTTTCTGAATTTGAAGAAGTAGTACTCAGTAGGATTTGTTATTGGGATTTTGGAATTAATGCTTATCTAGTATAATTATTGGCTTAATCAACTCGGTTGCTTGCACTTAAAAAATGACTAAACTTATGTAAATTTGGGACATCACTTGGAGTTTGAAAATAGCTAAACATGGAATATTTCTCTGTTTAGGTAAAAGACAACAAGTGCTATTTCTGGTATATTGTTGTTCTGTTGTGTACATAGTTTTGGTTTTGATCTGCCATAAGCTCATAATTTAAGCAAGGGCTGTTCTTTTCAAATTGCATTTTGGCCCACATCCTTTTGATTTACGTTCATAAATTTCTTCCCTGTTTGGGTGTGATTTATTTACTCAGATGCCAGCATTTTTATGTTGATGAGTTATTTGACCTCAGGTGGGGAGTGTCTAAGCTGAGCAAAGAGATGCAGGCAGTTGGCTTTTAAGCTGAGCAAGAGATGCAGTTGCTTTCAGTCGGAATGAAGAACTCACAGGTGCTTTTCTCTTTTAATAAGTAATTCCATATGTAAATAATTGATCTATTGGGCTCAGCTAATCTGTCATTGCCACAGGTTGTACATCGGTTCTCCCAAAGTAAAATGGAAAAGAAAGTTTTTCCACTTCACAGCCTTTCTATTTGGTACATGAATCTGCTTACCGTTTCTTCTTGATGCTAACTTGAAGATAAATATTATTTGTTGCAGAGCACCCAAGATACAAAACCCTCAACTCATGCTTCACATGAACCAAAAACAGAACAGCAAAACAACCAAACAGCAGATGGCCCCGTAGCAGACTCTGGCTCTTTATCTGCTTCAAGCAATGACAGCCGAAAAGTTTCACGCCAAGATATTGAGCTTGTGAGAGATTGATTCCTTTTTATATTTCATTTATTTATATCCTATTTTTCTCGGTGGAGGGACTTTTATATTATATATATTTTATAGTTTGAGATTCTTAATTTATGCAAGCTGATTGTTCCAGGTCCAGAATTTAATTGAACGATGCTTACAATTATACATGACTAGGGATGAGGTTGTCAAAACCCTCCTTAATCGAGCGAGGATAGACCCTGGATTTACAACTTTAGGTAGCTTGACTCAAATCTCTTTGTTAGTTTGCATATGCGTTTATGTTACCTGTAATTATCAATAAAACGCACTGCTTGTGTGTATTTGATAAAGTATAACTTAAATAAATAACCCCAATCTACTACAATGGTATCTTTGAATTAGTGAAAGCTAATCCACCAGTTGAATATGTCTCTTCACTGTTATTGTTTATTCAGTGTGGCAGAAGCTGGAAGAGGAAAATGCTGATTTTTTCAGTGCCTATTATATAAGGTTGAAGTTAAAGAAGCAAATCATTTTATTCAACCATTTGCTCGAGCATCAGTATCATCTGATGAAATATCCTGTGCCTCCAAAGGTTCCTCTGGCCCCAATACAAAATGGGATTCATCCCATTCCCGGTAAGTTCTGACTCAATAGAAATTATGGATGCAATTTCAAGCCTATTTAGTTGACAACATAAGGGAAAGGATCTCTGGGTTTTAATTACTTGTAAAGATTGGTTTGTAATCTTCACTTGACAGGGTGTCTATTTTGTTGTTTGTTAAACTTCCTAAAATGGAATAAGAGAAAAACTGGTAAGAGAGATAGGGCAAGAAAACCATATCACAGTTTTCCTTTGGGATTATTTGGTCTGCATGTTTATGTTACAATCATGATTATTCAACAACTTCTTTGCAGTGCAGTTAACAACTTACCAATGGGATACCCTGTGCTGCAACAACCTCCGATTCCAGTTACAGGACAACCTCATATTGATTCCATGGGTATATCAAGCTGTCATATGGTCGATGGAGTCCCTGCTTCCAGCAATTTTCAACCTATGCGGATGAATTCTGGGAATGAGTGAGAACTTAACTATCTTCTACTATTAATTGGCTTTTATACTTGCAAATATTTTCTGTCCCATACTTGTGAAGGTGCTTTTCTTTATTTTTCATTATCTCATCCTATAAATTAACTGCTTTGAATATAGCTTACCTAATGATTTTGATTGCTTACAATGTAACTTTGTGCTGTTTTCTTTCTCCTTATTTTTGGTTGAAATGTTCAGAAACTACTTGATCAAATTTGTAACAAATGCATGATTGTCTTATGGTTATATCACTATTTTACACCAATTCTGTCCAATTGTACTGTAACCCAAAATCTTTAGTTTCACTCTGCATTGTGTGTTGTTTCTTGCTTCATTTTTTTTATTTCTAATCAAGTATTTTGTTCCGCAAAAATTAAGCTAACGGTAACAATTTCTCTTATTCTAGCATGGTGATGGACAACAATGCTAGTGATGCAATACACACATTTCCTCCAACAACTGCCATGCCATCTATGTCAGAGATGCCTGGACCTGATAATGGAGCTGGGAATTCTAGAGATTCCCTTAGATCATTTGATCAGATTCAGTGGAATTTCAGTCTCACAGATCTGACAGCAGATTTGTCGAACTTGGGAGGTAAGTTTTGCCTATGAGACCCACCACAAATATATCCATTAAGATTTTCAGGTCATGTTTTTCATCTTTCTCTCTCCCCATGTCATAGACACATGCATCTGAATACTCGTGCTTTAATATTTGCTTTTTAATAATATGTGAATTTCTTCGGTATGGTCATTGAAACAATCGCTCAAGGAACTTAGCATGTTTGTTACTTTACTGTTCTTTTTCTTTATTAAGCTTGTTCTCATAAAAATTTGGCCCTCGGAATTGTCACAGATTTAGGAGCCCTTGGAAACTACCCCGGTTCTCCTTTTCTTCCTTCTGATTCGGAAATGTTGCTTGATTCTTCAGAGCAAGAGGATATAGGTAATGAGGCTGCATAATAATGCTTATCTTGATGTCTATTTGCATTGTTAGAGGATGTTGATGTAGCTTAGATAGTTGGAAACATTTTGATATCAATTCTATCTATTAAGTGATGGGAAAATCGAACCTTCAAACGAATACGATTTTACCAACTTGACATTTTGAAATACTTAGGTCGTTCTCATTTACCTCCCGAAACATACTCTGTTCGACCATGAACTGATAGATCTTATAAACTTGTTTCAGTGGAGGAATTTTTTGTCGATTCCGTCCCCGTGCAGCTGTGCTCCCCATATGATGAAGAAAAATCCTAGGCCAAGGTGAGTGTTGTAGCTTATCTTCTTCAAGTTGTTAGGATAGGTTAGAGTTAGATCAATAAGGGCAGGCATTTGACGTATATTCGTAAGGGGCATCTTGTTAACAAATCCCAGCATCTCAGTAGTGTAATTTTAGCTTCATCAACCAAATAGCAATTAGCAAAACAGGAAGGCAAGCCAAGCTCTCTCGATGATGGATACGAGACTTCATTGTTATTTGGAGAATCTGAGGGACCGTTTGTTTGTTGTCTTTTCTTTTGCGTTGCCATCTTTTCCAAATTCCAATAATAATCTTCACGTATCATATATATTGGTCGACTCATTCAGATCGAATATTACAAAATCTTATTATAAGAGCAAACCCTATTTTCAACTAAAGGTTGGACATTTGTTTCCGGCGTGCTACTTAATGGGCATGCTTTAAATGTTGAACTTACGACGTACAACGTTTTCATCTATTAAATTCAAACTTTCTAGTGCAATTGACGAGGTCATGGGAAATTTGTCCAGAAGTTTAAAGTCAATAATATAAAATGCTACAATTTTTTTTAAAAAAAATAGTTGATGAGCGTTTAGTCTAGGGTAAATTATATCATTGACCACTCAATTATTTAGTCCTTTTACTTTTATACAATTTTTTATAGGCCAAAGAAAGGCGCTTGCCTCGTCGGTTGAGTGCTCCCACCATTACAATGGGTGGCCAAGCTCGAATCCCCTGCTCTTCAATTGAAGAGTTTCATTTTCTTTTCATAATAGGGTGACACGTGTTATATTATAATTAGTGGAAAGTATATTAAATTAAAAATAAATTTAATCCAATAATTTGATAACGACACATGGTTTCATTTGATTCTTATTTATTTTTATTGAAATTGGGATCAAATTAATATAATATGCAAGTAACAATGATCAGATGTGTAATTATACCAAATATTTTAACGGTTAGTGGTTTGATTGAATATAATTAAATAATTTTGTGATCCGATTGACAAAATTAAAAGATTGATAGTAAAAGTAAAAGGACTATATAGTTGAGTGGTCAATAGTATAATTTACCCTTTAGTTTAAACATAATATTACAAAACATAGAAAATAAAATAAAAAATGTCACATATGGTTATTTAATAATAATAATAATAATACAACAAAATTGACTTTTGTGAGCTTCCGTGTGGAAAAGAGTTGCAACGAATGTTGTGTACTATTCTACTCGATGTTAAATTAGAATACCAACAAATTGTCTCTATTTTGATTATGGAAGTCATTAACAGCATTCTTTTAAAAGTTCCACGATTACGATTATAATTATAATTAAAATAGGGTAGAATATCTAAACGATTAGTTTACAATTTAATTCGTTGAATCTAAATATGATATTTGCATGCAGTGAAACTTTTTATATTACGTATTTTATTTTCGTTGTTTTACATGTTAAATTTATATTGGATTGACTTTTTCCCCTAATTTTAAATGTGAATCTTTTTTTTATTAAGTTAATATAATTATAAAATAGTATTAAGCTGAATCGAGGGCTTCAAAATTTTGTGCTAAATTGTTGCGGCAGAACCATGGAGAGCACCAAACTGTTACGCCTTTCGGGCGATTTGGTGTGCCTTTTGGGCGATTTGGCGTGCCTTTGGGTTCCGATTAATTTTTTAATATACTTACCGATGGCACCCGCCAGAAGGAAAGGCACCAGTAAGGCGGCTGCTTCCGCCACAGCTCGTCTTCAATGGAAAGTCGGCGATCTTGTCCTTGCTAAAGTCAAACTATTAAACTAATGTGATTATAAATAATATTTGTTTTAAATATTCTCAATCATTTGACAATGAACAACAGTTGATTATCTTTGTTGCAGTCATTGACGCTCGAATTCGAGACCTTTAGGAATAACAACCATTCCTTTAACCATCGAGATAATTTGATTCGTGCTCACTTAAAGAATAAAGTAGGAAAATGACAAAATTAAAGAATAAATGAAAGGAGCTTGGTGATTTTTTCTTAATTAAAGTTTGGTCTAAGAATTTGCACTCTTTTTTTGTCCAAAAATATAAAGAGTTGACTATTCTATTTTTTTGTCCCTCGTGGACTTTGTCTTCCTTTTCGGTCTGCCCTTTTTCCATATATAATCCTATACATACGTATATATACGCAGACAATAACTGCCATTATCGACTCTATCCACGAACTTTCTTTTGTTCTAAAAGGGCCGCCCTGTGTCCCCAAACGAAGTTTCTCCTCCATTTTTCTTTTCATTTTTTCCGACTTCATTTGTTCTTATTAAGTCTCATGACACCTTAAACAAACTGTTCTTCCCTCTGTTTCTTGTTCGTTTGGTCTGAAAATCTTTAGAATCACTGCAAACCCATCTTCACAAACGAAATCAAAAGATAAAACCTTTCTTAGCCTTGACTTTTGTTTTTAAGGTGAGTCTTCCATGTACATAAATTTTCTTCTTTTTTATGACAGGACAACTTCACAACCACACTTTTAATTTCCCTCGGTTTCTTTAACGGTAGTTGTCTCGTTAATTCATCAAAGGTTATGGTTTTAATTATCGTTTCAGGGTTTGGATTTTGTGCAGGAGTTGGATAAATCCCAAGGTTGAAGCTTTTTGCATGTGAAATGAAACTACCCCAGAAATTGGCTGAAATCATGACTTTCAGGCGAGACAAATTTGTAAGGTTAGTCTTTATACGTGTAGAACGATCAATGCATCATGCATGTGTACAGTTGTTTCTTTTTGTTGTTTTATTTTCATTGATCGGTCCAACTTTAGAATTATTTTCATGGATACTAGTCAACTATGCTAAAGCCGAAACCATGTAAATTCTTTACAGTGGACTGTTTGGTTTGTAGTATTCTGGTTTCGTTGTTGGATTTAGAATCAGTCTAATGGTGTTTTCACTTGGGTTTTTTATGATATTTCATTTGATCAATCAGGTTCCAAGATTGGAGTTCATATGATGGATCATTTACAATGAAAGTTAGGCCATCATTTGATGCTGTTATGGATCGTGTCCGGAGGGTATTCGAGAATGGGTCCGAAAGGATCCGAAGTTTCAGAAAACCGACAATCTTCGGTTCTCTGGGTAAAAAACGACCAAGAAAAGACGGGGCATTTGGTACGAGGAAGAGGATCCTTAATCCACAAGGAGAGTTTCTTCAGACATGGAACAAGATGTTCCTTCTCTCATGTGCGGTTGCTCTGGCTGTTGATCCTTTGTTCTTTTACATCCCCCGTGGTTGATGACTTTAAGAAATGTCTCGATTTGGATAACAGACTGGGAATCGTTGCTAGCGTCCTTCGTACATTCGTCGATTTGTTTTACATGATTCACATCGTCTTTCAGTTCCGCACAGCGTTTATCGCCCCGTCGTCTCGTGTATTCGGTAGGGGTGAGTTGATCGATGATCCCTGGGCTATCGCGAAGCGATATTTGCGCAAGAACTTCTTCGTCGATGTTCTGGCAATTCTTCCACTTCCGCAGGTACTAACTGGTCATACTTCACTCATCTTTAAACACTTGCAATCCGTGCCTAGAATGACACATTGACAATATGAACAATGTCTCGTGTGGCTTTTCTGATTAGGTGGTAGTCATACTCATAATTCCGGCATTGAAAGGCCAGGTTTCGTTGGTCACGAAGGAGTTGTTGAAATCGATTATTTTCTGCCAATATGTGCCGAGAATCATCCGAATCATCCCTCTTTTCAAAGAAGTCACGACCACTTCCGGCATACTGACCGAGACAGCATGGGCTGGTGCTGCTTTGAATCTCTTCCTCTACATGCTAGCCAGTCATGTAAGTTCAATCTGGTATATGGTTTATGAATCATTTGAACAAATATTAACATTACATGCAGTTCTCTGATTTTCTCTGGTTTCCAATTAAACACCATATGCCAGGCAGTCGGAGCCTTTTGGTACTTGTTCTCGATCGAAAGACAAGACCGGTGCTGGCGCGATGCTCTAGGCAACGGCGACAAAGGTGTTTTGTACTGTATTAAAGAAACAACCCGGGCAAGAAACGAGACACTAGTGAATCTGCTGAATACTACCTGCCCTTTAACCGATCCTGATGAGATAAAGGATCCCAATGCCTTCAACTTTGGGATATTCATCGATGCACTTGATTCCGGTGTGGTCGTCAGAACCATGGATTTTCCCAAGAAGTTCTTGTACTGCTTTTGGTGGGGTTTGCGTAGTCTAAGGTTTGTAAACATTAAACAACAACAATGTAGTTTACTTCATTTGAACAATTTGTTGATTCATTCACCCAGTTTTCTTCTGTTCTTTCAGTTCTTTGGGCCAAAATCTCAGTACAAGCACTTTCGAGCTTGAGATATTATTTGCTATTGCTATTGCCATTGGTGGGTTGATTCTGTTTGCACTGCTTATTGGGAACATGCAGGTACTTCCTTAACGATCTTCTTCATCAAATCATTTCTTTCATAGTTTCTCAACATTGGTTCTTGTTATTTTCCCAGAAATATCTGGAATCGACAGGAGTCAGAGTGGAAGAAATGAGAGTGAAAAGGCAAGATGCAGAGCAATGGATGTCGCACCGGATGCTCCCGGAGAATCTGAGGGAACGTATTAGGCGATACGAACAGTACAAATGGCAAGAAAAGAGAGGCGTCGAAGAAGAGACTCTCATTGCTAACCTTCCCAGAGATCTCAGGAGAGATATAAAGAGACATCTTTGCTTGGATCTTCTCAAAAGAGTGAGTTCTTTCAGTAAAGCCTCGTCCTTCATACGTCCATGCAATCAAAGATTTAACGTTTAAAACCTTTGGTGTTTCTTCTTAGGTGCCGATGTTCGACAAGATGGATGAACGACTATTAGATGCAATGTGCGATCGTCTCAAGCCAGCGCTATACACCGACAAGAGCTACATTCTGCGAGAAGGGGATCCGGTGGAGGAGATGCTGTTTATTATCCGAGGGAATCTGATAAGTACAACCACCAATGGTGGACGAACCGGGTTCTTCAACACCGCTACTCTCAAGGCCGGTGACTTCTGCGGTGACGATCTTCTTACTTGGGCCTTGGATCCCCAGTCATCGTCCAACCTACCGATCTCGACAAGAACGGTGCAGGCACTAAAAGAAGTCGAAGCCTTCGCTCTAATGGCGGATGACTTGAAATTCGTGGCCTCCCAGTTTCGACGTCTCTCCAGCAAGCAGTTCATGCACACTTTCAAGTAATTCTCCTTCACAACATTTCCTTTTGGATTCCAATCCTTATATGAATGCTTATTAAGTGATTTGTTCAACAAGGTACTACTCGGTCCGATGGCAGACGTGGGCAGCGGCGTTTATACAAGCAGCTTGGCGCCGGCACTGCAAGAGGAAACTCGTTAAGTCTCTACGTGATGCCGAGGACAAAGAGAGCGAAGCCTCGGTAAGCCTTGGCGCCACTCTTTACGCATCAAAATTCGCAGTCAATGCTTTGCGGATGCTGCGGAGCAACGGGTCACAAAGCGCCAGATTGGCTCAAAGATTGTCACCGTTGCTTCCTCAAAAGCCAGCCGAGCCTGATCTTAGTGCCGAAGAATAACATATAGTGCATTAATCTAAACAGATGCATGTATAGCATTTTTTTTATATTGGTTCAAAATGCAAATAAATTTTGTATCTTGAAATAATAAATTCAACATGAACAGCCTTATTTTACTCTCTTGAATGCACAAAAGAACAAAAACCATGCACATTGTGATTACATATAATACATGAAAAGGAAAAGCTTGCAATATATCAAACGGGGTCATCACGTGAACCAGCATCCTCCGTCGACGGATTGTTCCGGCACACCGGGCAAGAAGTGTTCAACCGTAGCCATTCATCGATGCATTCAGCATGGAAGCAGTGCTTGCATTCCGGTATGCACCTGATGGTTTCTGTGGTACGGTATTCAGACAAGCATATAGGGCAAGTGGCATCATTGGGGCCCGGTATTCTCCGGCTGTCGCCCACCACCATCTTTTCATACGATTCAATCGTCGACTCATCCAGTCCAGTTGCGGAAACCATCGGTTGTGGCAACACTGCAGTCGGACTGTTGTTCCGCTGCACGTTACGGTCAAAGAAGCATGCAAAAACGGCGATTCCAACCGCGCACGAGAGTGATGGTATGGCAATAGACAAGCAGATGATCCTGAAAACTCGAAGACCTTCGCTTCTTCCGCCTGAAATAAAAGAATAGCATATGTATCACGGTAAATTACTATCTAAATTATTAGTTATGCTCCGTTTTAATAGTTAAATTTTTAGTTTTTTTAAAATTATACATAACATTTAGTTTTTTTTCATTTTAGTACTCCACCGTTTAAAAATTTAATGGCACTGCATTTTTTATAGGTAAATTACATCATTCAACACTCAACTATCTGCTCACTCATTTTGGTACTAAATTCAAAAAATTTCAATTTAACTACTCAACTTTCAAATTGCTCATACTTTAATCAATCTAATTTATTTTATTAATAATTTTTGTGACATATCATTTTTATTATTATATTATTAATATATAATTAAAAATAAAAAAAATAAATTTGAAAATAAGAGTGATTAAATTAAGTGCAATTTGAAAGGTAACTAATTAAATTAAAAAAATAAACTTTAGTGACCAAAATATGAGTGAGAAGATAGTTGAGTGATGAATGATGCGATTTACCCATAAAGAAAAGACGTGCAAATCATACGTTAAGTTTTTAACGGCGATGTACTAAAATGAAACAAAAATTAAACATTAGGTATGATTTTAAGAAAATTAAAAATTTAGGTGCTAAAACGGACCAAACTTGAAAGTTTAGGTACTAAAACAGATCGAAACTGATGGTTTAAATACTAAATGCATAATTTACCCTATATACTATTAAAATAAAATCATATTTATCTATTTTTTGAAAATTATCTAACGCAATAATTTACATAAAATAATTTTATTTTTTGTTGCTTATAAATTAAATTCTATTGAACAACTACTTTTCATAAAGCCAAGGCCCTCAATTTATTTCTATGAAGCTGGGGATTATCCCCAGAAGCAAAAAATCTAGAGCTTCTGACTTTTGGGGTTTGTGAAAGAAACGGTTGACCATTAGTAATTTAATACAGCAGAGATCCTTGTCTGAACTGAGCCGTATTATATTATACGAGAGAGATGACTCCTAGTTCTTATGTATAATATTTTACCCGTTCTACTTGACAATTAATTGACATTATAATAGTGCGATTGCATCATATCTCTCATAAATGTAATAACAATAACAAGAGATAATACGATTGCATCATCTCTAATAAAGTCAAATAACACTAAAAACGAACTCGTTCTGTACAAGCCACTCGCTCATCATTTCTCGTTTCTTTTTCTATTTTTTAATTCCATTCGGAAGGTGACTTGGCTAGTTGACATGGAACATTTTCTGAGGATGTTGGGTTAACATGATGTTAAGTGCGTAATGCAGAAACGACATGATAGGAGAGGTTTCGAGGAGGAGCCTTACCTGATTCGGGAAGATTGAAACAATCGATTTCTTCACTACTATGGTTCTTTAACCCACAGATTCCGCCTTGTTCTTCGCATTCTACGCATTGAGGTGCATACCATGTTAGCTGAATGTCAGCACCAAGTTCGGCCGTGAAACCTTCCTCGGACTTAGCCGGCCCCGAAACGGGGATCGGCAACGTGCTGATGATACGGCACGACGATGAGGCCATTCGATTCGCGAGGTTGATGGAAGAAGTAGCCAAGACCGAGTGCGTCGAATTGCTTAGGCAACCGATGGTGTTCAACCGAGAATTCGTCACCTGAGTCGGACAGCTTAGGAACGTGTAGTTCTGATGAAAAACGGCCACAAAGGGAGACCCCGAGAGGTTGAAGCTGAGAAGCCTCCTCGGGAGGCAGTCGTCGGGGTCGTAAATATCTATCTGTTGATCGAGATAGTTGATATACGGACGTAAAACTCTCCCGAATAAGGGAGGTTGACATAAATTTTATTCTGACTTCTGCAGCCTAAGTTGAAGCCCGGGTACCCACAGCTCTCGGGTTGTTTACCTTGTTGGCGGAAGGGGAATCGTATAGGGACTTCATTTCTTCCACACCTGGTTATGGAGCAAGGCTCTGCTGCTGCTGCTGCTGCATGTAAAAGGGCATAGAGACAAGAGAAAAAGATGAGGATATCCATGTCCAAAAACGGATGAAGCTAGAGTTGGGGAATGTCCGAGGGAATGGTAAAAGGGAGACCAATCCATTCACAGGACTCCATTAAATTATTCGAACCCATACAAAGTCAACTACTAAAAAAACAAAAGCTTTTCTCTTGTATTGTACAAAAGAAATTTTCCGAGTTGACCTCATCAAAAGCCAATTGTTTATGGTCAGTAACTTGTTTAAATTGCTTCACAAAACCCCAAATGACAAAACAATGCTTGTGCTAATCTGGGGGATGTCATTTGGATACTGGGCAGAAAAGCAGCTTTCTAAATGCAATTGAAGAACTAAAGGACTATACATCTCTGTATTTTGTTAGTGAATCTAACGAGTATTATTATTATTATTATAATTATTATTAATATGAGATAAGTATAAAGGTAATAACCTTTCAAAAATAACTCTTAATCATTTGACATTAAACGTTCGCACTCCTGACATTCATGGTACTCGAACCAAAAACCTCAAGGAATGATAACAATTTATTTACCACTGAGATCAATAGGTTGGTGCATCTAGCAAGTATTTTGAATTCAATTCAATCTATTTTTATTTTGGGTAAAGTACACAAATAGTCCCCGGTTATAGGATAATACTTTGTTGAGTCTCTTAACCATTAAAAGTTACAAAATTATCCCTCAACTATAGGGAGTTGCCATGTTGAGTCTCTCGACTATTAAAAGTTATAAAATAGTCAATCGACTATTCATTATGTTCCAAACTCGTCATTTTCCGTTAAAAATCAGCCATCTGAGTTGGATTTTAACATGTTCACTAAGATATGATAGTCATTTGAGATTAAAAGATTAGATTTTAACATATCTCAATCAGCAGGTTAACGTACAACTCAAATTGCAACCTAAATTTTAACAGAAAATGACAAGTTTATAACATAATTAATCATCGAGTGATCATTTCAAAACTTTTAATAGTCAATGTACTTAATAAAACATTATCATATAGTCAATGGACCATTTGTTTACTTTATCCTTTTATTTTCAAGAGACGTTAAGTTAAATCTCCCGGAATATACGGCCTAAGCTCCAAATCGTTGTATGTATGCTCAAATTTAAGAGTAAACTACACGGGTGACCACCAAACTATGGTCAGAATTTATTTTGACCACCAATGTTTTAATTTAATTAAAAAGACCACCGATGGTTCAAACAAGTCACTCCTCGTTCATTTTTAATTGAGATGGGTGGTCTTTTTAATCAAATTGAAACACCGGTGGTCAAAATGAATTTTGACCATAGTTTGGTGATCACCCGTGTAGTTTACCCCAAATTTAATACTCTAATTAGAAATACTTTGTTCTATTTTTATAAAATCAGTTTATGCCATTAATTGTCCCAATTAAAATATTAACATGAATCGTTTAGAAAACATATTTTTCAATAAAAAATAATATTAACAAAACAAGTTGAAAAATATATTTTTTTAAAATCAATGTTAGGAACTTAACCAATTATGTAGTTAAGAATAAAGAGAAAATCGCCTCAGTGACCAAAAAAAAGTTATAATATACGATTTTAACCAACTTTTTTTGGATTTGCCAAAATGACCAATAAAATCGCAACGCGAAATAAAAATCGCAACGCGATCCCCAGAATCGCAAATCAGTTTCCAAAATCGCAACGCGATTCTTGAAAATCGCAATGCGATAGTACAAATTCGCAACGCGAATATGAAAATCGCAACGCGAACACATAAATCGCAACGCGTATCCGTAAATTACAACGTGTATCCGTAAATCGCAACGCGTATGGGTAAATCGCAATGTGTATCCGTATATCGCAACGCGTATCCGTAAATCGCAACGATAATCCGTAAATCGCAACGAGAATCCGTAAATCGCAACGCGATATTTAAAGCGCCATTATAATCGCTACGCGTATTTTATTTTCAAATTACAAAAACGAATATTAAGACAAAATCCCGTAATCGCAACTCATAACCTAAAACCTAAAATCACAACTCAGTCCCATCTCCATCTCTCACTCTCTACGGCGAAGAAATCCATCACCATCTCCGAATATTTCCGTCCCCATCTCCGGCGAAATCCCTCACAACCATTCACGGTCAGAAATCCCTCACAATATTCAGAAATGGAAAATTAACCTCCGAGGGTTAGTTTTTTTAATTATTTTTATTTTGAAATGTTTGCATTATTGTAGGTTTTTCATATTGAAACTGATGATAAGTTTACTGGTCATTTCAATAATAGATTAACCATTTCACTTAGATTTCATTTCGCGTTACGATTCTGTCGTTGCGATTTTCAAGTTAGTATTTGTCTTTGTCTTTGTTCTGTCTTTTGGTTGAAGTAATGCAATCCATTCAAGTTTCAATTTGCAGAAGAGTCGCAACGAGAGAATGACTGTCGCAACGAGAAATGAAAATCGCAACGCGAAATGAAAATCGCAACGAGAGAATCGCAACGCGAAACCAAAATCGCATTGCGATTTTCATTTTCGCGTTGCGATTCTCTCGTTGCGATTTTCTATATCTTCACAGTGTAGTTTTTGGTATATCTAACTTGGTATGTTTATTGTTTTTGTAGAAATTTTTTTCGCTCAATTGACCTTGAGAAATAAAGTCAGCCTGGCCCACTACAATTGCTTCGAAGCTTTCACCTGCTCAAAGACAATTGTTTGAGGAAACCTGCTTCGGGCCATGCTGAGAGTACAGCATCCGGGTGGAGATGCTAATTTGACCCATTTTATGGCTTCAGACCATGACATCAAATCTACCCGACAGTATACAACGTGGTGAGGAAGAGATATGGTTTCATTTTCCACCAGCGTATACTTGTTTTGGGCGAAGGAGTTCGCTTAATCACTGGTCTACGATCGGACACGATGATGTAGCCGGTACACTCGCATATCGCCCGCCCATCATGGTTATCCCGGGTTTTTCCGGATGAGTCAATGGAGAAGCCGAACCTACATGTCGACGACCTGAAGAAATTATTAATAAGAAAGCTGGTTTCACTCGGATGGATGACGTCGATGTTGTCCGAGTAGCCTTCTACTACTTGTGTATGCCGGCTTTTTAGGCAGAGAGGCCAGACAACCTATTCATCGGGAGCTAATAATATTGGTAGAGGACCTGAATGCATGGAATTTGTTTCCGTGGGGTTCATATATATGGAAAGCTACCTGGACTAAGTTGTCGTCTGCCTTTGATGACCGCAAAAGTTTGCGGGGCGATGGGTCCAAATACACTTTGTCAGGCTTTGTTTGGGCCTTTAAGGTAAGAATTTCTATATATGTTTCTAAAATTATAATTAATTATTTAACAATTACTAATTTTGTTATTATATTGTTTGTAGATTTGGATATTCGAGGCTTTCCCCAGCATGCGTTACATATGCAATAAAAACGTCAAATGATATTCCCAGGGCTATTTCCTGGAAGAGGAAAACTCTGTTGGATTGGGAAGACTTAATACCATATGCGACAATAAATAATGTAAGTTAACACAAATACTTTCATATATATAAAACAAGTTATTAATAGTAGACGTTTAACTTTGTTTGAGTTTTTATATTGTTAGGAGGCCAACATTCCATTACAAAGACTGACACCCACGAGGAAGAGCTTGCCACTGATTGGTGGCAAGCTAGTCAGAGTTTTTTGAGGCACGGATGATGAGCATCATCCACTTCCTCCAATTCGAGAGCCATCACTCACCAGAGCCATCACCCGATCGACCCGACTATACACCTCTAGAACGAGAGCCATCACCTATCCCGTCACATCATCGAGCCTCTTCTCCACCATCACCTCATGATAGGCGACCGGTAAAGAGGCCACGACATTTATCTCCTTGTCTCCACCTCCACGGGATGAGTTACGTGATGAGGTCAATGCCTTGCGTGAGGAGATCGGTACTCTACGCGATAACGATGGTGCATGGCGTGTGGAGGTGTCAACTTTACGTGTGAGGTTGCCGTTCTACGTGAGATGATAGTATCGTTGCAGAATGAGGTTCATACTCTACGCAACGAGGTAAGTTTAAGATTTTCCATATTTAACTTAATGATAAATTTACTCGTAATTTCACTTAGATTAGCCATTTCACTTAGATTGCTTAGTAAATTTATTCGGTTGCTGCCAATTCTGCTAAACTGTGTATTCTTTAACACTGTGAAATCTAAACTGTGTATTCTTTAACAATGTGAAATAGTATTGTCTTGTTTTGTCTTTTGGTTGAAAGTAATTTGTTCGGTTGCTGCCAATTCTCTAAACTGTGTATTCTTTAACACTGTGAAATAGTATTTGTCTTTGTTTTGTCTTTTGGTTGAAAGTAAATTGTTCGGTTGCTGCCAATTCGGCTAAACTAATACCCTGAAGTCAGTATTTGTCTTTGTTTGTCTATTGGTTGAAGTAATGCAATCCATTCAAGTTTCAATTTGCAGAAGAAGAAATAGTTTACTTTCGCAACACGAAACTTAAAATCGCAACGAGAGAATCGCAACGCGAAATGAAAATCGCAACGATAGATCGCAACGCGAAACCAAAATCGCAACGCGAACCAAAATCGCATTGCGATTTTCATTTCGCGTTGCGATTCTCTCGTTGCGATTTTCATTTCGCATTGCGATTCTGCCGTTGCGATTTTCATTCGCGTTGCGATTTTGGTTTCTCGTTGCGATTCTCATTTCGCATTGCGATTTTAAGTTTAGTGTTGCGAAAGTAAACTATTTCTTCTTCTACAAATTAAAACTTGAATGGATTGCATACTTCACCAATAGACAAAACAAAGACAAATACTAACTTCAGGGTATTAGTTTGAAACATATTTTCTTTGTTATCTGATGCATTTGTGAACTATGATAGAATAATGACTTGGGTGAATACAATGCAAGTTTGAAACATATTTGTCTTTGTTTTCACTGTTTAAATATCATGTCTGTTTATTTACTGATTTTGTATTTAATTAGCGGCCCGATAGAGTGGATGCTTTACGTCGGGTTATGCTTGCACGACGGAGTTCACGCATCAGACAGCGTGCACGTGCTATTAAGTCTCCGTACACCCCAATAGTGCGAAGACACCGCAAGAAGAAGCCCGACTCGCCTG